TAAATTTCACAAGGTTATTAAATTACAAGCAATTTTTTAGGGTAGAAAATAATTTTCACCGGTTTATATCCACTTTCACAAATGAAGTTTCCATAATTTAAATGAAATAAGATCTATTTTCCTTTTACAATTAAATACAAGAAAATGACATTTTTCAAATTTCTAATAGATAAAAATGACGATATTTTAAAACTAAAAGATCTCTTATATATAAAAATGATATAAACAAAAAATAATGTTGAAAAGGACTAGAAAATTGTAACACCTCGCAATTGGAACTAACTAAGAATAAGCTAAGAAATCAAGAATAATCAATTTTTGGGAATAAATAGGGAAATTTGGAAAATTTTCAGCTTTAGAAAGTGAATTTTGGTCATATTCAAATGGTCGTAACTTCCAACTCAGGAGTAGTTTCGATGAGTTCTATATAATTTTGGTAAGACTTTGGGAAGAGCTTTCCAACGCTGCCAAGATTGCGAAAAGCTGATGTCGTATGAGGAAGATATGCCTTTCGAAAGTTGGGTTGTTAAACTGAGGAAAATTCAATTCGGATTTTAGTAAGGGTAAAGTTATCTTTTCACCCTAGTATTTCCTAATTCTATTTAGGTTATATTAGGGGTAAAACAAAGTCCCAAATCAGTTCTAGAAAAACTAAGAACATTTAAGGCTTTGGAGAAAAGAGAAAAGAAGAGAGAAGATCAAGAATTGTCCAAGAACGCCAAGATCGTTGAGTGAAATTCGTCGGGGCTGATCCCTATCGAGGTATGTGAGATCATTCGGTGTTGGGTCCTTTCACCCACACCAAATTTTCTTCAAATTTATCAAGTTAAAGTATATGGAATGATGAACATAGGAGTTCTTGATGAAAATTTGTTAAATTCTTGTTGGTTGAATTGTAGTGTAACCCAAGTAGATTTGATTCATGTTTCCAGACTCTTTTTGGATTTAATCTGTTGGGTAATGAATTACTTAAAGATCCTAAGTGTTTGTAGTGAGATCCATGGAATTTTAGGAGATTTAGAATTAAAAATCTGAGAAGAAAAGTTGGAAAACCTGTCTAATAGGCCCTGGGGCGCCGCACCTATCAGAGTGCCTCAGAACAGACTCTGTCCATCAGCCCTGCCACTCCGCGCCTCTCAGAGCGCCAAGACCCCCTGGAGAACCTGTTCTTTCCTTATCTTTTGGTACAAATTCTTAAGTGATGTACCTACCATTCCTAGTTGATTTCAACACTCTAAATTATATCTAAACATCATGAAATCATCCATAAACATGAGATCATTATCTTGAATCCATTATCCAATTCAAGGAAGTTTGAAGTCAAGTTTAAAAGTAAGAAGCAAATCAATATAAGTTCTTAAAGTTTTCAAAGAGTCATACACAATCATTTTAACTTTGGTCTAAGGCTCAAGTTATAAGTTATGCAAAGAGTAAAGAGTTGAGTTAAATTCTCAAAAGTATAAGGGGACTGAGTATTCCCTATGAGTTAAGTTTCAAGTTAAGTAAAGAGCAAGAGTTGAGCTCATTTCTCAAAAGCTATCAGGGAACTAAGTATTCCCTGAAGGTTTATAAATGATTCACATTTAAGTTAAAGGAAACTAAGAGTTCCAAAAGAGTTCTAAACTAAAATGGGAACATTGATTCCAAAAAGGGGCTTTTAAAGCTAAATTGTTCAGTAAATTATCTGAACCCAAAGGAAGGAAATTTTATAAAAAGTATGAACTAAAGTATGTTTTGGGAGTAGTATTGAGAACCGATGTGGGGATGAGAGTTCATAATTAACTTAAGTCTCCATGTAAACCATGAATCCATCATGGGAATTGATGGGTCATACTTTTTAGATGATCACGTAAGTCTATCGAGTTGATCCACTAAGCTAAGTAAGGTCATATACCAATGGCAAGGTGTAGGATGGTCCTTAGGCAACATGAGATAAATGTTGTATCATCACTTAGGCTCAAAGTGATGGTTGTCGGTTAGAGAATCTCCCACAAAAGTTATATTACTTTCATATATAAGTAAAGTTGAGCGTGTTAATGCATTTGTTTAACGAACTAAGTTGTTTTATTGTTTTACAAGATTTATATATATCGCATGTGTTTTAAATTGCTTTATATACATACTTTGACTTAAGCATATTCTTGAGCAGAGCCAAGTTCATCTTAACCCCTCAATCTTAAGTCGTCGTTTAGCTTTCCAACACGCATACTCGTACATTCAACGTACTGATGTCAATTGGCCTGCATCATTTCATGATGCAGACGCAGATAACCAGGATCAGCACGTAGCACACCATTGATCTAATTGAGCACTCCCAGTCACTTGGTGATCCGTTTTTCATTTTAGAGGAAATTCCTTTATTTGTTTTCTATCTTAGTTCATTAGGATTTTGTGGGGTCTGTCACAACATCCATCTCTGTTATTAGAGGCTTCATAGACATATAACAGTTAGTAGTTTAATTTTAGAGTCTCTTGTGTTTTATAACTTTATATGTTCAATTGTTGAGACTTAAATGTCATTTTGGCAAGACTATTATATTAATTGTTCCTTTTAAATATGCTCTATATCTTGATTGAGTTGAGTTGAGTCTTTCGCTGAGTTAAGTAAGTCAACCCAAGGGTTCACTTGAGGGTCAGCAATGGTTTTCGAGTGCCATGTTGTAGGCTGTGGGCGTGACAAAAATTATCTCCCTCGAACTAACTTAAAATCCTAGATTCACTTTTGTTGTGTTATTTCTCAAGAATTTCAAATAGAAAATTTTCACGACTCAAAAATGGGTGTGATGACACTCGTCTTATCCCACCAAGACAAGTCAGCCTAAAACTTAGCTTTTACGATAAAATGCGGATATATATAATCTACTTAAAAATAAAACCCCAAAAACATTGTACGTGTACAAGCCTCTAATGTGTTATAACAAAATTGAAAGAAAAAACAAGTCGTAAATGACAATGTTTCTAGAACAGAACAAGATTACAATTAATGAGGAAGAAGGTCCGCTGAAATAACAAGCAACTGCCTCAGAAACCTCCAGAAGAAGCCTCAGACAAGGAGAATAGAAAATATCACAAATGTTCGCGCTAGTAGCCTACAAAAATTGTAGTAGAAAGGGGTGAGTACCAAACCACACGATACCAATCAAGTGAACTTCTAAACATAAGCGAAGGGAATAGAATTTGGGTAATCCTTACACCCCAACCAAACCTCCACAACTAAATTATTATAAAACAAGCCCAACCTAACATTTCACAGTTAACAAAACACACAAATCAACACCAAAACTTTAATAATAATATATCCTAAAGATTAAACTCGTTATTTATCAATCATAACTACCACAGGAAGGCACTCGAAAGATCAAGTTCATCGATGATAAAGTTGTACAATGCAATGAAATGCAATGCCAAGTATAATAACTCTCTATGAAATTGAATTGATTTAAATAACAATACAATCATGATAAAACATCAACAATGAATCAATAACCCTTTCAAAACCATTCTCAATACATTATACACCAATAATTAATCACAATGCTTTGTACTACCCCTTTTTCTTCGTTAGAATTATTCAACATAGAAAAGTCAACCCATTACCAATTCTCATTACTCCCAAACACATACCACAAGGAAATATATGATTTTGTGCACTAAACAAGGGTTTAGAAATTTACTTACCTCAAATAACCGAATAATCACTACGGGACTTGAGTCTTCTCTTTTTGTTGGGATTTCAAAACAATTTAATCTATTCATGTACATATTCACCATACGATTTCAAAACTACCAATACAACCATTACTATGTCTTTAGCCTTGACCTAAAAATTCACTAATATTTAGGATTATGTTCTTAAATCTTGATGCTAATTAACATTTCAACTATCATATATTTCACGTTCCAAGTCAAGGATTAAGTCTAAATTCCTCCAATATTATAATCTAATGGTATTGACATTTATACCATGTCGGAGTAAATAGGCTCGAAGACTTTAAAGAGAAACATAGGCTAAAAGGTTAAGAGAATTGTATGCTTAAGTTTTTTCTATGTTTCAGTATATGAAATCACTGGAAAGTACAACTTTATACAAACTTAAAATAACAAATTACTAAGTCATTGAATGACCATTACTTTCATTAATTAAACAACTAAGTACTAACCAAAACACAACTAGGAAGTACTGAACCATGCATATTTGCTAACAACTAGCCCTAGAATATAGGATACTACTAACCAAAATAATTGACCTGGTCATACTTTGAATCAGTCTTAAATGTTACCCTTGATTCAAAGTTACATACACCAAGCAAAGCCCTCAAATAGACAAACTTGTCCACTGCCAACGACTTCGTAATTATATGAGCTAATTGCTTATGAGTGTTGCAATGCTTCAATACAATATCCTCCTTCAACCAAATCACAAATGAAATGGAAGTGAACATCAATGCTCTTCTTTATACTATGAAATTTTGAATTCTTTGTCATTGAGATTGATGCTTTGTTGTCGCAATATATATCTTTTGCACATTCTTGCTTGTGCTGAAATTATGATAACATGCTTCTTAGCCAGATAGCTTGGTAAGCGGCTGAAATATTTGCAATGTACTCAGCTTCAGATGTGGATAAGATTGTTGTAGCTTACTTCTTTGAGCCTCAATATATTATTCCTGACCCAAGAGTAAAAATATGTGCTGAAATGCTTCGTCTATCATACAATGAACCAACATAGTTGTTGCTCTCAATTGCACATGCAAGTGTACACGGTCACACAAGTAATATAATGGCTCTTAAAAGAACCAGATTATTGATCCCAAGGGACTTGTCGATGTTGACACCAAATTTTGGTCCGATGGTTTTAAAATTAGTACATTTTGAGTCAAATACAAAAAAATAAAAATAAAATCTTCCTTTCCCACATCTTTTCTCTAACAATTTTCAATTTTGCAAAAGTCCCACATCGGTATTTCATCCTTTTTGAGGATTTTTGGGTTTCTATATAAACCCACTTCATTCAATATTTTAAGGGAGGGGAATACAAAAGAATACTCTTAAAATTTTGAGAATTCTTGGTTCCATAGTTCAAAAATTTTAAAAGTGTTTTTTGTGGTTTTTTCGAGTTGAGGAGGTGGAGTCGTCTCCTTCAAACTCATAGTTTCGGTTCGCTGCCCAGAACCAGGTAAATTTTTTCTCTTAGCGTTGTTTTATTTTATTCCAAACTCTTTTATGTTTTCTATTTATTATATGTAGCTTGTTTTGTTTTTTTAGTTTAATGTAGTTGTAAAAGTCAATTAATATTTGTGTTTATTATAGTTTTAATATTAGCATTATTTTACGATTTGATGTTCATTTATTTATTATTATTATTTTAAAATTGTTAGTCAACTATTTGCTATCTTAAATTTTCAGGTTTTGTTATTATTCTATTTTAATGTTATTTTTAATTTTTATATATTACGTTATTGTTGTTTCCATTTCTAATTATGTTGTTTTAGTTTGGTTGATTGTTTTCCATATTCTCTTGGGATAAGTTTGTTATGTTTTGTTGATGTTCAGGTTATATTAAATATATTTGTTAAAATGGCCAATGAAAAAACTCTCCGTCGGTTTTGGAGGCCTTCCCAATATTAAAAGACGAAAATTTAATTAAAGTTAATATTTTTATTGTTAAATTTGGCCGATGAAGAAATTACTGTCGATTTCCAATGCCTCCCATGTTAGTAAGACGGATTTTTGTTTTTAAATTATTAATTTCATATATTCAATTTTATTCATTTTTATTTATTACTAACACTATTACTAAGTGTGTTTACAGGTACCCAAAACTTGTTTCATTGAAGTTATTCGAAAGGAGTTCGAATTATATTTTACAATTCATTATTTTGTATATATCGATGTTAGGCAAACCTTAGGCCGTTTCTCATGTTATTGTTTTATTTTATTATTATTGTTTATTGCATATTTATACTACTTGTATATTATTGTTATATCCTCAATTTGAAAAAATGAACTCAGTCGGGAACCACAGTTGTGGATTTCGAAGGGTGCCTAACCTCTTCCCTTTGGAATAACTTGAACCCCTTACCTAGAATTAAATTGGTTTCGTAGACTCTTTTAAGTTAACTAGTTAATCGGTTTCCTAGTTTTCCTAAAAATTAGGTGGCGACTCCCTTTTCCCTTTAACCCGCTTTAATCCTTTTAAACTCATTTTACCACTTTTTAACCTCTTTTACCCGTTTTAAAAATTCTTTTAACAAATTCTCTTTTTTAATTGAGTCGCCACGACGTTGCTCCCAATTCAAAGGATGTCAACATAATGTCGACCCTGCTGGGGAAATAGAGGTTCTATCCATTATGGGTTTATTTTTCAAATTGAGGATACTATTCTTTTATTGTGTTATTCATTATATCTTGTATATTTTGTTGATTGTTTGCATATTGTACTCAATATTGATTTATTATTTTTTGTATATTGTCATTGCATGCACCACATTTATTCCGTCAAACGACACCTAATTTTGCTTTTTTACTTAAAGGGCGATTATGTGGGTTCGCATCGTTCGTTAACTAAGCTTTTCTCGGGGCACCCTGACGAATGTAGTTGACTACTGGATAATCAACAGTCGTTAACTGTCTCAACCTAAGTAGTCCGCTTGGGTCACCTATCCACAATATACAAACCCCGCTTTTAATTATCTTGTATAGAGGGAAGCCAAAACCTCATATTAAGCATGACACAATTGTTTGTATGTTATGTGATATACTTATTGTACGTAAATATGTTGTATAATAGTTCATTATTTTAAAATCACTTTTGTTAACCTAGTTTTTAGAATATTCATAATTCAAGTCCAGTTTTTATTCAAGTTACAATCTGTTGGAACTACGTTTGACCTGATTCCTGCTTCAACGGGATACGTAGGCACCATTAAGGCTCGGTCATCTTCCCCGTAAGTTTTTCAAATTTTAAGAACGGAAACTGGGGAAAATTTTTGTGGAAGTCTCCAAAATTTTATAATGGAGATAGTTGTTACAATATTAAATATCGGAGGTTTGTCGAAGCTGAAACAGGGGCAAAAAATTTTAGGAATGCCCTCAAAATTTTCATCAAGATTGTACGCAGACTCCAGTATTTATGAGGCTTCACTCCGAGTTGGTTTATTTATTTTGCATTAATTTTTTGTACATGATGTCACATTCATTGTATATCTTTGATTTTTATTATACTCCGTTGAAAAAATTAGTTTAATTGACATTTTTTAAGTTTGGGTTGTCCGTTCTTCAACGTGACTTATTATTTCATTATTTTATTTTTGTTACTTTTGTTAAATTTAGGTGGTTCGCCCTTCAATGTAACTCACTGATACATTCGTCCTTGTAAAATTTTCTTTAAATAGTAAATAAAAAATATTTTGTTCAATTCGGGTTGCCCGCCTTTCAATGTGGCTCATTGATTTTTATTCTCATTTTTTTCCTTTCAAAAAGTAATTTGTTGTTTATAAATTTTATGTCATATTTGGACGAACTACGCAAACCTGATTCTCATCATTGAGATACGTAGGCAGCCCTTTGAGGGTTCGGTATTTCTTTATTCAAAAGATCTTTTATTTTTATTTATTTTAATGTTTATAATTTTTAAATCATTTTTTTTGACTTGGTGGATGCTAACACAGTTCAAGTGTGCATGTGAAAATAATTTGTACAATAAAGAAGATTGACTTCTTGTTAAACCATGGATTCTTTTAGTACCTCTCATCCATACTTTGTTACACTTGAAAATGTTGTCTTGTATAAATTCAAGATTAGAACAAAATCAGATTCATTGTTTCATGTGCATTGTGTGGTGAGTTTTGAATCAAATTCAATTATTTTGCATTGTTGATCTAGAACTTGACCTAAATGTTATTGAGGCGAAATTCTGAGTAATGTTTGATTTGAAAAATGATTGTAGGCCTTCTTTGATCCGTTTGAGCCTTTCAAAGCCTACCAAATGATGTTAATCCTTAGATGTCCCCACTTTGATCCTTAAGCCTTTTCTTTGGACAACCACATCTTAGCCTATACCTTTCTGAGTGCTTTTACGCAATATCTATCTTTTGACCAGACTTTCTTGAGTGCACTGAAGACATGCAAGTTATAAGAGAAGATACAAAGTTCAAATTTGTCAAAGACAAAAGTTATCAAAGTTCCTGAATGTCAAGAAAACAAAAATGACTTCAGAAAAAAAAAGGGTTCAAAATTCCCCACCAATTTAAGAAAGTAAAATTTCAAAAACACTCCAAACAAAAAAGGAGAAAATTCAAAAGGGGGGAAAACTCAGACAAACAAAGTTTCAAAGAAGTCAAAAGTGCAAAAGGAAGGGACAACAAAGAGAATCAAACGCTAAAAGCGTAATAAATGTTAAAAGCATCTATTTAGTGCAATGCTCAAGAAAGAATAAGTCACTTTAATCCCAAATGAGTATCCTACCCATTTCTAATCCAACATTACAAGCTATTAACAAGCCCTACATGATTTCAATTCAAATATTCAAGATTAGTGGAGATTTACATGAAGGTCAAGCCTATGGTATCACAATTGCATGCATTGAAATTTTTTGTTGAGTGTGAGTGTGCTTTTCCAGATATTCCCAAATCAAAACACTTTAAATGTGCACAAATTGAAAGTTTATTTCTTGTGAGGGCTCTTGAAACATGATGTTAGGTCTAGTTCAAAGATTTTGCTTGTAGCAAGATGAAAGAATCTTGTCGTTACTTAAGTACAATTGAGGTACCACTTGAATCCATAGGAATTACCTCGATGTCAATTTCAATTGAAAGAGAAAAATTGTGAGAAATTTTTGTACAATACTATTGTTGGTGCTAACCAAATTAAAATATGTTTCATTGTTGATATTTGTCCAAACAACTTTGTGGACCGTTTCATTGTTGAATTTGTCCATACCAACTTTGTGGACCGTTTCATTGTTGATATTTGTCCAAACAACTTTGTGGACCGTTTCAAAGTTTAAATTGCATTTTCGATAGTCATACCCTTCAAAATGACATCTTTTATTTTTCGGTAGTCATACCCTTCAAAATGACATCTTTTTAATTTGGGTCGTCATACCTTTCAAACTGACATCATCTTATGTTATATTTGCTACTAACATTGATATTTCAGATTTTGTGATAGACATTTTAAGTTCAAGTTTGGTCGTCTGCCTTTCAAAGAGACAAGATTGGGTTGTCATCTCCCTCCAAATGACATGTTAAGTTCAAGTTGGGTCGTCCGCCTTTCAAAGAGACAAGATTGGGTCGTCATCTCCCTTCAAATGACATGTTAAGTTCAAGTTGGGTCGTCCGCCTTTCAAAGAGACAAGATTGGGTTGTCATCTCCCTTCAAATGACATGTTAAGTTCAACTTGGGTCGTCCGCTTTCAAAGAGACAAGATTGGATTGTCATCTCACTTCAAATGACATATTAAGTTCACGATTGGGTCGTCCGCCTTTCAAAGAAACAGGATTGGGTCGTCATCTCCCTTCAAATGACATGTTAAGTTCAAGTTGGGTCGTCCGCCTTTCAAAGAGACAAGATTGGGTTGTATCTCCCTCCAAATGACATATTAAGTTCAAGTTGGGTAGTCCGCCTTTCAAAGAGACAAGATTGGGTTGTCATCTCCCTTCAAATGACATATTAAGTTCAAGATTGGGTCGTCCGCCTTTCAAAGAGATAGGATTGGGTCGCCATCTCTCTCCAAATGACATATTAAGTTCAAGTTGGGTCGTCCGCCTTTCAAAGAGACAAGATTGGGTTGTCATCTCCCTTCAAATGATATATTAAGTTCAAGATTGGGTGGTCCGCCTTTCAAAAAGACAGGATTGGGTTGTCATCTCCCTTCAAATGGCATGTTCAAGTTGGGTCGTCCGCCTTTCAAAGAGACAAGATTGGGTTGTCATCTCCCTTCAAATGACATATTAAGTTCAAGTTGGGTCGTCCGCCTTTCAAAGATTTAGGATTGGGTCATCATCTACCTTCAAATGACATGTTAAGTTCAAGTTGGGTTGTCCGTCTTTCAACGAGACACGCTGGGTTGTCACCTCATTCAAAGTAACATGTTATTCGCATCATCCTTCTTTCAAAAAGTACATCACATTCATTGTGCAATTTTTCAAGTAACATCAAAGGGTATGTGAATTTTCTCAATTTGCAATCAATCTCCGTCTTTTGTTTATTATTTTCATCCTAGTCGATCAATGTGGAGTCTTGCTCAAAAGTTCTACTAACGTCTCAATTGTTTTGTTCAATGTTTATCAAATCAAATTTGGTTCGTCAACTTTGGTTGACCAGGACCTCTTTCATCGATCCTAATCAAACAAAGGGGCAAGTTGTTGACACCAAATTTTGGTCCGATGGTTTTAAAATTAATACATTTTGAGTCAAATACAAAAAAATAAAAAAAAATTCTTCCTTTCCCACATCTTTTCTCTAACAATTTTCAATTTTGCAAAAGTCCCACATCGGTATTTCATCTTTTTTGAGGATTTTTGGGTTTCTATATAAACCCACTTCATTCAATATTTTAAGGGAGGGGAATACAAAAGAATACTCTTAAAATTTTGAGAATTCTTGGTTCCATAGTTCAAAAATTTTAAAAGTGTTTTTTGTGATTTTTTCGAGTTGAGGAGGTGGAGTCGTCTCCTTTAAACTCATAGTTCCGGTTCGCTGCCCAGAACCAGGTAAATTTTTTCTCTTAGCGTTGTTTTATTTTATTCCCAACTCTTTTATGTTTTCTGTTTATTATATGTAGCTTGTTTTGTTTTTTTAGTTTAATGTAGTTGTAAAAGTCAATTAATATTTGTGTTTATTATAGTTTTAATATTAGCATTATTTTACGATTTGATGTTCATTTATTTATTATTATTATTTTAAAATTGTTAATCAACTATTTGCTATCTTAAATTTTCAGAGTTTTGTTATTATTCTATTTTAATGTTATTTTTAATTTTTATATATTACGTTATTGTTATTTCCATTTCTAATTATGTTGTTTTAGTTTGGTTGATTGTTTTCCATATTCTCTTGGGATAAGTTTGTTATGTTTTGTTGATGTTCAGGTTATATTAAATATATTTGTTAAAATGGCCAATGAAAAAACTCTCCGTCGGTTTTGGAGGCCTCCCCAATATTAAAAGACGGAAATTTAATTAAAGTTAATATTTTTATTGTTAAATTTGGCCGATGAAGAAATTATCGTCGATTTTCAAGGCCTCCCATGTTAGTAAGACGGATTTTTGTTTTTAAATTATTATTTCATATATTCAATTTTATTCATTTTTATTTATTACTAACACTTTTACTAAGTGTGTTTACAGGTACCCAAAACTTGTTTCATTGAAGTTATTCGAAAGGAGTTCGAATTATATTTTACAATTCATTATTTTGTATATATCGATGTTAGGCAAACCATAGGCCGTTTCTCATGTTGTTGTTTTATTTTATTATTATTGTTTATTGCATATTTATATTACTTATATATTATTGTTATATCCTCAATTTGAAAAAATGAACTCAGTTGGGAACCACAGTTGTGGATTTCGAAGGGTGTCTAACCCCTTCCCTTCGGAATAACTTGAACCCCTTACCTAGAATTAAATTGGTTTTGTAGACTCTTTTAAGTTAACTAGTTAATCGGTTTCCTAGTTTTCCTAAAAATTACGTGGCGACTCCCTTTTCCCTTTAACCCGCTTTAATCCTTTTAAACTCATTTTACCACTTTTTAATCTCTTTTACCCATTTTAAAAATTCTTTTAACAAATTCTCTTTTTT